AGGCAAATCTTAAGCGGTCGATATGTGTCCAGAAGTTTACGCATGGTCTTCATTGGTTCTTTCAAAGTTTATGGAGTTTAAGGTGTGTTTTTCGAATAGATAACTTTTCGCGCTCCCCTGTGTGTTGTTTGCCTATGCGGCAAAATTGAAGGCGAACGTCGAACAGACGAAATGTGACATTAATTAAGTTCATATATTTTGACTATGGCAAAGTCTATTGATAGAGATACCTGTAAGTTTTTGAATAAGTAACTGTTTGCACTCTCGAGTTGATTTAGTGCCTATGCATTGAAATAAAAGGCGGAACCAAGCCCTCAAATTATCAATCGATACTCAATATTGTATTTTCTTTCCCTTGAAACTTCTCGAGATAGTGGACAGAGGCGAGAATTGACTGAATTTTCGTCTCATCATTCCGTCTCTGTCCATTATTTTGCGGATTTAAAAAAAAAAAAAAAAAAAAAAAAAAAAAATCACTTCTTCTCCGTCTCACGCATGAAGAGCGAGAGCATACTTACAAGTTTCATGGTGGTCAGCAGCAAAACCAGCGCGACAACAGCCGCTAGACCACAAGTTTTGGGAAGATCATTAAATAGGGAGGACCACGGCACACGCACGAAGCTGTGCGGACCATGCATCAACACAATGTGTTCAACTTGTACGAAAAGATAATCGCGGCAAAAACCACAGACTCGAAGGCGATCTATGCATCAACACAATATGTCTACCTTGCACGCGACGTTAATTACGGGACCAATCACGGACTTCGAAGTTATCGCACACACGAAACCGAGTAGGCGATCCGAAGAAGAAGCTCAACAAGCTCAAGCTCCAAGAAGCTCAACACGAATGAACTGAAACCGAGTAGGTGATCCGTGCATCAACACAAGATGCTCGACATGTATGAACAGTTCACGGAAACAATCACAGACTCAGACGTTAGCTAACACTTGAACTAACTTTAAGTGGCCGAACTGTGCATCAACTAGAGGTGCTCTACTTGAACGAGCGATTAATTGTAAACTACGAACCACCGTCTTAAAGGCAAGCTTAGAGTTTGGCTTGCGCGCGAAACTAACTTGAAGTAAGCCATGACATCAACACGTAATAGTGAACTGATACGTGTTGAAGACGGTCACATGAAAAATCTCTTAATACAGAAGGCTACTACTTAACTTGGGTGCGAAACTAATGGTGAAGCACCAGTGTACCACACGAAACTGGGTTGCGAGTATTTCGCGCAACCGGTTGATCATCTCGCTCACAACTGTGGCGTCTAATTTTAATGCGACCCTTATCGAATAAACGGCTCCGGAGCCATAAATTCGGCAGTAAACACGCAGAAATGCGGCTGAGAGTGCACCTGCATCTAACTCGACCTTGATTTTCATCAGCTAGATCTCTAAGTTTGTAGAATTTGGTCTTGGAGAGGTTCAAGTGCAAAACTAATGCCCGAGCGAAAAACGCTGGTAAAATTACACTTGAATACAATTTCGGATTAAAAGTAAGTTCGGTGCATTTTCAAGTGACTTAATGTCTCAGATGTATTTATTTTTTAACGCAGGGTGTCTAGTAAGACAGATAGGCAGGCCGAAAATCAGTAATTTTTCAGCATATTCACAAGAAATTCAGTACCTTTCTCCTCAGCAGAAAAAGCCAGTGCTTTTTCAGTAAGTTCGTCACATAATGGAGACATTTGACGAAATACCCTGGTAAAAACTGGCGATAAGAGCTGCGCTTCAAAATAGGAAATAGGAAATAGCCGAATAGGAAAATCTTATAGGAATCTCATAGGAATTCTTATAGCCGGCTAAAGAAGGCAACAGAAAATCATATAGCTGGCTGTAGAATGCGGAGAAAATCATACGGCCAGGCTATACGAAGCGATCAAAATTACGCAGCCGGGCTATAGTTCCTATCGCCGGGCTTTACACTTTATCGCCTGGCTGTTGCTTTTTCGCCATCGATTATAATAGGCTATGAGAAATTGTATAGAAATTCGTGTGCTTTGGAAATCATGAAGTTTGATACGGAACCACCTTAATATTTACAAAACACACATTATATTTTCCTTTAATACATATTTTTTTTCATCAATTAAAGTGAGAACAATCCATACAGGTTGTGCAAACATTTCAAAATCATGCATTGAATAACGCTGACTCCGCCAGATAGAGCTTAACACAAAGCGGAGCGGCGACGCACTGGCGCCTACAAACCTAACAGGGATACTTCACGCATTGCGCAACGCGTGAAGTATCCCTGTTAGGTTTGTAGGCGCCAAAGCGCGTTTCGCGTTAGCTGCCCGCCTGCCGCGCCGCGCCGTGCCACGGCGCTTGAAGCAACTATTTCACACCAGAGGTATTGCACAGTATCATACGAAACTAAAGGCGCTCTAGTATATTAGGAATGACAGGCATCCATCAAAAGTACGGAGCTTTCCTCGCAAAATAAATCAAGATACTCTACGGCTCAAAAAGAGAGCAGTAGTCCAAAAACTCACTAAGTCCTAGCATCCGTTCAGCATACACTTTATCGCCTGGCTGTTGCTTAGTCGCCATCGGCTATAAAATGCTATAAGAAATTGTGTAGCCGGCTATAGAAGCTATTGGAAATCTTACAGCCGGCTGTTGGTCTATGGTATTTTGGAACACAGATTCTACTTCCAATTTTTACCAGGGTACAAATAATTTCGAAGATTTGACGTCGGCTCGAATTGCTACTAAAATGACGTAGACAAAAGATTTCCTTGGTAACTTGAGAATTAACTGACTACACAATCGCGATCTTGTAGTTCTCTAACAATCAACGCGTAGGGGACTGCATTCCTTCCAGACTACATTATAAAAACACACGTGGTAAGAGGGCAAAATTCCGGACCTTCTAGCGGAATTTCCACGCTTTTTCAGTACTTCCGGACCACCCTTTCAAAAGCAGTTGTGTTTCCGGACTTGTAGACACCCTGTCACGGCTTTTGTGACAGTTCCAAACAAATAAAAAAAATGACGCAAAAAAGCTACTGAACTCGAGGCCATCGCATGCAGCATGAGCGTATTGGCCATCTGAAGTTCGCCTTCAATATTGCTGCATAGGCAACATACCTACAGAGGAGTGCGAATCTATTCGGAAAACACACATTTCTCGCCTCATCACCAATATAGTCCTTTAGAGAACAATATGAACCATGCATAAACTAACGGACATATATGGTCTACTTGAGGTTCGCCTTCAATTACGCCGTATAGGCAACATACCTGCCAGGGAGCACGAATGGCTATCTCTTCGAAAAGCACACATTAATCTCACTCTAGATACCGGCTACTCAAGGTTCGCCTTCAATTTTACGGCGTAGGCAACAAACATACCCCAGAGCGTGATTAGTTATCTACTCGATATACTCACACATCGCTCCACAAGCGTTGAATGAACCAAAAATGATCTTGTGAATCTATTGTTACATATTGTGCTTGACGTCGTGTTTGATCTACCTAAGTACATTTGATCTGATATCATGCGTTTTTTTAATGGAGGCCTTATTCGAAATTTACCTATAAGTAATATTTAATCAATCAAACTAGTAAAATCATAATCTGAAAAATATAATTATCCGCTTAAATAAATTCCGAGTTTTTTATAGTTCAGTCAGTAGTTATTACTTTGTTTTTAATTCTTGTCTTGCAAAGATGCGAGCTCAATAAATACAAATAAAATTTAAAAAGTGGTAATTGTTTTAGAGTTGATCAAATGCAGCCATTTAGAGATAAAATGTTATAAAAATCATTGCAGAACACAGGAAACGGCGGAAGTTCTCAATTTTCTGAATTCCTTCTTATATTTAAAGTTTTGCTGGTATAGAGCGGACAAATAGTATAAATTTCTCTCAAAGGAAACAGTGTTCACGTTAACTGACTACAGCGGATATGATGGATTCCTTGCAGGAACTGCGGTTTATGATAATAGCCATTCAGAGAAAGTTGAAACCTACAAAAAATTTGACGAAAGCAGTCAAAGAATTTGGCATCATCCTACGAAATTGATGTGCAGCATCCACTTATCTCTGATTGGCTGTTGCCAGATAGGAACTTTCTATAGAACCTGCATCAAATAATTTAGCAGTTGTGTACTTGTAGCTGCCATGCACAGGAGACTATTTTACACATCCGCACCAGTGGCATGGCGTGAATTGCGATATATCGATTGTTCTTCCATTTAAACCTATGGTAAATAATCGATTATTAAGGTGTTCGCTGCGGACACCCTGTTTATCGATCCTTTCCCATGGTTTCAATGGCATAACAATCGATATATCGCAAAGCACGCCGCGCGACTGATCTGCACACAGCAACAGCATTGCTTTTGGTCAGTCCTAGATCCCTAATAGATTGCTTAAGGACAGACACTTGCAATAGAAGCACTCCACCAAGATTCAAACGCCCTATAGATGCTATTAGTGGTGACGTCATCATGGAAATTATCCATTAGATCGAATAGGATCCAAACAATAACATTGGCATAACCTCTTTCAATGCTACCAATGCAAAAATATTGATATATATTGCTTTTCAATTACGTGGCACTAAAAGCGTCTATTCATGATTCTTCCGCCAATCGAAGGTTACTCTGATTGGTCCACGCAAGCGGTAACTGCTTCACTCATCCATGCTCGGATGGCCCCGGATGTTTTTTTCCAATTTCACACATCGCAGAATGGAGTTTCCAACATAACGATCTTTTGGAATCTTACCTAATGAAAAACCAGCCAATATTTACAAAAGCTATTCCCCTGGGTATTTATAGAAGATATCTGTGAAGTCTAAAACACATTCCCTAATGAGATCCGATAATACCGACAAATAGTGCATATACTAGGAATAACGTTAAGAGAGGAACTCCAAAGCTTCAAAGTACGTAACAGACTTTATTCTTCCTTACAGCATCTTAGCAGGAACACAACAATGCGTTGTTCATTATTCTAAGTCAAATAGAATTTAATCACTAACCTGCGATTGATTGGACTTCCGCTAGAATAATCAAGCCATTTGGTTCATACTACTGCAAGTTTCTGAGCAGTGCCATTATTTATGGAAAATGTGACCAAAGGGCATCTCGTTACTAGGAAGATGGGTACAACTTTCACACTGACAGGCTGGAATTCACTATCACCCACGAATCACGGAGAGAAAGGAAGCTGAAGGAAAGGGGGGGACGATTGGTTCTGATTAAAAGCGGCTAGCACATTATCTCTGATTTCAGCAAATTACTAACGTATTAATTGACGTAACAAAGAAAAAAACCCTCAATATCAGTTACAAAATGGGTCCGAGAGCTGATAGGGGTTGATAGATACGATCTCAGTCCGTGAGAATAACAGCACTGAAACTAAGGGATAAGGAACTGAAAGGGCGACTGATCTTTGGTAATAACTCGAACAAGAAAAATGCCAACACAGTGAAAGACGATTATCGCGGAAAAAGTTTGCGAAATGCCATAAAAAAGCTCAAGATGAGTCACAACTCACAAACAAACGTTCGAGACGGGTGTGTTGTGTGTTGCGTGAGTGACGTCACATTGTTTTGATTCGGCTCACCGGTGAGGTCGATGAACGGTGTTGGCGCGGATCAAGGTCGTGAGTTTAAAATTAGCCGGGAAAATTTGAATTGACGCTCCCTGTTTCACTGTGCGCTCCACGTGCGCGCGGAGCAGGAGTGTCACTATTTCCTGGACGTTGATCTCCTGCGATCTCTAAAATGTATTTGATCTGCACCATTACCAAAAATTAATTATAATTAGAGGGCTCAATCAGACCGCACCATCGGACTGCTATTTACTTTGTTGCCTAATTTAGTCTGATAATACATCATTTTCACTAAAAATTGAGGGAAATAACATCTTGACACTCTTTTGTAATAAACTTCTCAAAATTTTACAGGATTGAATCATGAGACGAATGGGTAAAGTAGGTAAAAACTTAGGTAATTTTCACTAAAATATAATTAAAATATGGCAAAAACGCCCTTACGTTGGAGAATAATAAATGCAGTAAAATGACCAGGGTTGGACTGACTCGCATCTGAGGGCGTAGACCCATGGCTGGTTAAAGGGGCGTAATGTGATATTTCCTGGTAGGGCATCCCGTACGTGGAGAGGGGTTCAGAAAATTTTGGCAAAGCAGCACAAGTTTATGTTATTTTTAGGTTCAAAGTTTATTAATCGTAAAAATTTCAAAATTGAACGTATTGAAGTAACCGACAGACTTCTGAAATTTAAAAAAAATATAAAAAATTAAAGCCACTAAACGCATCCGAGCCCCATTATTTCCAAAAGAACCGAGCCCGTGCTGCGGTTTACACATGCTTAGGACGTGGGTCTGCAAATCCAACTTAAAAAAGAATCAGACAAGAACCTAAAAACAGGAGAAAGAACGAGTATAAACACAGCCGAAGACAGAAAAGACGTATTCGGGCCTCTTTTTAACTTTTCTCCCAAATCTGAGCGACTCCTCAATGACAGCATCGCGTCATCGCGCCTTCAATTTTTCAAATGCAGCACGGACATCAATTAAGTACGAATAGTTGTATCTCTGCGCCGTCGTTAACGCTCATCCTTTCCCTCGCTTTATTTCCATATTGTGTTTGTTTGTTTGCATTTGTCTCCTTCGTAATGGTGCTTCAGACTAGTAGCATAGAGCGCAGAGCACTGCGAGTGTGAGTTCACGACTCACGCTATCGCGTCTTAAATTTTTCATATGCAATGTGGACATTCACCTTACGCGAATAGTTGTATTGCGTTTACACTTCAGATGTCTCTTATTTTTGAATTTCGAGATAAATTAAGGTTAACTTTGCCCGAGACATGCTATGGTATGTCCAAATCAATAGTCATTTTGAAAAGGACGAAATGTGTTTAAAGGTCTCTCAAGAGGTCTATAAAAGGTGCGTATGTCTAAAAATCGAACCGATCATCGCTTCTAAGAGAGTTACGCATGGTGAATGAAGGATGGGGATGAGATAGCGCCTGCATATCAACAAAAAGGGGGAAATTTAACAGAGAAGTGTTTACGCTTCAGAAAGTAGTTCTTGGCCCTCTGTTCACCACTATCATGCGTAAAAGCTCCGTTTTTACTCCTAACTCTGACTTCTTCCGTTCATATAAGAAATTTTCCGCATAAATTCTCGGTTGTCATTTTTTTTCTCTTCTTATTTTGTTATCTGTCAGCGGGGCGCGTTTTCGGCACAAGGGAGCGTATCTGCCAATGGCAGATTGGCCTTATGGACAGTCCAAGCCTGAAAATGACTACACTGCGAACGGTTTATTCTACATTATTAAGCGCAATGCATACTTCATAATAGTCCACAAATTGGCTTTTTGAGAGCATTTTAAAGATTGAGACTGATAAATCACGAATTTCAGGGAAACAGACAAATAAAACGTGATGGCGATTTTGCGAGGTTTCATTTCAGACGCATAAAATATTCATAAAAATGTATTTGTGGCTTGGAATTTTGAACCAAAGCTCTCAGGAGTGCATAGAAAGTGTTTGGCATCGATGGGCTGAAAATTGATGATCTTCGCCACATTTTTGACCGCACTAGAAAATTTGAGTTTTCACCTTGATTTATCAGAGCCAATACGTCTTATCCCTCCAAAAATATCCGGGAGGGCTCAAAATGCGATTCCGGACCGGAGCTCAGCTTTTACTTTTCTCCTTCGTCTTCTTATCTTCTTCTTCTCCTCCTCCTCAGAGATTCAATCAAAACAAAGCAGTTTATTGAGCAATAAAGGACTGCCGCTGATACGATGCCATTCAAATAAGAAAATGAAGAAAAATAATAATTTAGTTTTATTTTTTATTTTTCTTGTTTTTTTGTTTTGTTTTGTTTTTATTTTTATTTTTTGTTTGTTTTGGAGATGGCAAATCAGGGGAAATTTTGGTACACTGCAAAAACCATACTCATTTCTTAAAGTCTTCTTATGGAGTCATATGTTTATCTCGTCTGCTGTGGGTTCATATTTCAATTTTTATTACAGTTTCCGTGTAATATTGTTCATACAAACGTATGCTACGTAAGAATTAAAAATAAAACTTCGCACGGTTGAAACCACTGTTTTCTTCCTTGCCGGGGCGTAAAAACAACGTGCTTTTGTCGAGCCTCAGCTTTCGCCTTTCTTGAGATCTTAACTCCATTTTCACATAAACCACGGAAAGCATGGAGTTATTCGGATACCTGGGCTCATCTCCGGCGACAGTTACGTCTTTATGTTAGTAGGGTCCAGAACTGAACGTATTCCTGCCAAACGAAACTATATGCATTACGACGTGAGCCCTGTTAAACATATATTCTTATGGGTCTCAGGGCTCATGTTTTAATGCACATAGTTCCGTTCGGCAGAAATACGTCCAATTGGGGGTCTAATTACTCGCGGACAGCGAGGAAATGTCACTCATGAAGAGATGACGCGAGGAATTATCCGATGACGCACAGTGGATCGAGTCAATGAGAGAGGTCGGACATAATATATTTGACAAAAACTACAAATTTTGATGTTTCATTCGTCGCATTTTAAATTTTAAGGGAAGGTTCTGGAAGATAGTTTTACGAGGCAACCAATGGGACTACTTTTGAAACACGGAAAAAAAATTGCTGATTCAACAATTCAATTGCTAAAAACAGTGAGTGCAATGTTTCAACGCAGATTTTACAACAAAAAAATGCTACTTTAACCACCCCCGCGGTTAAATTAGTTTACAATGTGTTTAAAGTAGCATTTTTTTGTTGTAAAATCTGCGCTGAAACATCGCACTCACTGTTTTTAGCAATTGAATTGTTGAATCAGCAATTTTTTTTTCCGTGAACTTCATAGTTTTATATGAACGGAGTTATAAGCTTTTACAGTTTCCAAATTTTGTCCGCCATCTCCAATTGATTCAATCCACTGTATGGTGGTTTTCTGGCGCGACTCTCGGGATGAGCGGTGACTTCGCGTGACATGGTCCCTCTCTGTCCTTGCGTCCCCCTTCGAGCCCGGGTCTGCGGGGACCGAGAGAGAGGTGCAGCGATGGCATCCCGCCGTGTCCGAGGGCTCATTGTCATTCGTCGCGACCAGTATGACGTTCGTGAGACTGCTTGTCTGCGCCAGTTTCGGGTTCGTTTGCCTCTCCGTCTCCGAGGTAAGTCGTCGATGATCATGTAAAAAATAGGTCAGTTGGACGTATACATTCTAAAAGGAACTATGTGGAAGTTGAAAGATGGGGTGTGATCGTAGAAGCTGCATAAGAAACAATGTAAAAGTGGATATGGTTCCTTTTGAGAAAATGGAAAAGCGGGATTTTCGATTGAATCAAAAGGAACTGAGCGCTAACTCGTGAGCCGTGGGCATGTCAAAAGAGCGTTGTGGACAGGGCTCATGAGTTAAAGACTGACGACCTGGTCGTCGTCGCTCGTGTCGCGCCTCCTCGTACCCGGTCCTCGCCGCTGACGTCGCTGGCGCTTTTAAAGTCCTACGCGGAGAAAAAAAGGACAGTTAATTTAACGAAAGTGTCTACTTGGAAATTTTCTACGTTAATTTAACACCGAAAAATTGTTGATCCAAATGGATAGCGTACTTGATGCGAAGAGACGTCTCATTTGAATCAACTGGACTAGTCTCGTTGAATTTTTTCCAGTCATGCCAAACGGGAAAGCCCAATTACCGTAACTGGAATTCCATGTTCCTCACTTCTAACTGATGAGGCGTGTTTACACCTCAACATTCCTTATTTCGTCTGCATGAGATATAGGATATAATGGCGTAATGGGTAGGGTGATAGGCTAGGAATCGGTAGGTCCCGGGTTCAATCCCCCGAAAGATTCCAAACTTTAATGCGTGGCGAACTTGGGCAATATATTCTGAATAATTGTAAATCAAATTAGGAGACCATAATTTTGTGATTTTGAATGTATATTTTATTTAATAATTACTCACATGCCTTCAAAGGCCAGAAACTAGGGGCAGAGTCTCTGGAAATTTTCCAGTGATACCAAATAATTTTTCCCGTCATTTCAAGGATATTTTCCAGTTATTCCGAGGATAATTCCAGTTACCGCAAGGATTCTATCCATTTAAAACAAGGATAATTTCCAGTTACTTCAACTAGAAAAAATCTAACTGGCTATTCCAGTTGATTCAAGTATCATTCTATTCCGGGAAATATTCATTGGAGTAGTCTCATTGGATCAAGTAGTTTTCTGGTCTATCTGACTAAAAAATTTTCTCAGTGTATTCATTCTTAAGGCCCGAGCACTAACGAGCGCACCCCATCTTTTCACTTCCACATAGTTCCATTTCGCATAAAGACGTCCAGTTGAACGTCATATAATGGACCCCACGATGCAAAATGGACAGTGGACCACGAGACAAGGTGCGACTTCCAGCCATGGTGTCTGGAATTTTTGCCCATATGCTCATTCCCTGATTTTCCCAGATTTCCAGGGGTCATTCTCTGATGAGAAACTAAAGTTTTTCCCCCCGTCCTCAGGATTTTCTTAAGAAAAACCTCCAGAGTCCCGGATCTTTTTCATGTTTTAGCCGATTCATTGGCGCAGATTAGAATTTTTATTTCAAAAAGCGTTTTTGATGTTTAAATACCTGGGCATTGAAAGCTTCTCTATTACTCTGAGGATTAAAAAATTTAAGAGGTCAATAATGTTGGCTCAGGTGCAATAACACGAACTTAAAATGGTCTTCAAACGGTAGAAGGGGCAATTCCTGATTTTTAGAACGAATTTCCTGATTTTTCTCTGAATTTCCTTGAAATTTTTCATTCTCTTAAGAATCCCAGTTTTCCGGCTTTTTCTGATCCTAGATACCATGATTAAAACATAATGATTTAAACATTTACTATCAAAATTTCACTTTATAACACGATTCGGGCAACAAAAATTACTGAATGTAACCCCTGAGGAAGATATCAACGTTTTTGGATGCATAACTTTCAAACCTCCCGCTAATTAAGAAAATTGCTCTATTTGAGTTAGAGCTAAACGTTATACCATCGCAGTTTCCGTGACATGAAAATATGGCAAACTTGTCTCGATGCTTGGCTCAGCTGTGTTGCACGGTTTTTAGACTTTGAAGAGCATAAGGGAAGAAACGCTGCCCAATTAAGAAGCTTGCCAAAACCGTTCCTGTTTTTATTGTGAGTGATAAATTCAAAGTTTTGTAACCTGTGCTAAATAAGTAAAAACGTTAATATCATGGTTAGCAGTTAATTTCGGTGATTTTTATCGCGCAAATCGTGTAGAACGTGACATTTTTTAGATGAGACAATAGGAAACATGTGTCAAAATGCTTAAATTCATATCTTGTCGAGTGGTCCGTTGAATAGGGAAGAGTTTGAAAAGACAGTTGGGATAGTTAAAAAAAAGGAACTTTACAAAAAATAAAGACATACTTTGAAAATCTTTTGAAAATGATCAAGTTTCCGTCATCAAAGAAAATGGAAAGAAAAAGAGTAAACTTGGATAAAATACCTGAGAAAAATTGGATGAAGTGGGCGGCAGAGAATGGAAGTGGAAACATATTTCTCAAATCTTTAACGCGATTTTCATGTTAAGCATGTAAAGTTTGATTGCGTATACCTGTGCACCAACAAATAAGAAAATTAATGAAAATGCTGAAAGGTAGAATAGAGATAATCATATTTTGCACTCGATCAGCGTCTATTTTGAAAAATCAATAACCGCAAAACTGAACAAAAGTCGGTATTGGTATCGAGAAAAATATATTATTGTGCGGTGAGGTTAAGTAACTTTTATAAGGAGTTATAAGTAAAGAGACTAACTTGGACGTAGATTTAAAGAAAATGCCATGATGGATAAGGGTCATAAAATGTTCAATAAATTACAGAAGAAAATTAAAAACAACAACCAACTGAAACATTTTTCGTGGGTTAGTTACTAAACACCTGATTGACAAAATAATAATCTATTCGTGAGATGGATTCTAAAATGGGGTATTCCATTGATACTGTTTTATTGTTACATTGTAAAGTTATATATTTAATTATTTTTGCATGGTTTAACTTAAGAGAGCTGTACGAACGTTATCATAAAAACTTTATGCATAACGAAAGAAGTGAATAAATAAATACACATGGTAATTAATGGCTCGAATGTTGTTTCAAAACCAAGTCAGAAAAGCTAGTTCTTTTCTGTGTATCTAAACCATCCGATAATTCAAGTATGAAAACAGATTCTAATCCGAACGCAACTACCCTTTACCTTGTTTAAACCTCCTGTCATGATGTGTAGTCCATCTATAAGTTTCAATGATAAAAAGCGCACAATGCTTGCTCCCTAATTCGAACTTTCCACCAAGGCGGGCATTCAGTGACTTAAACGCACGGTTAGAAAAGTATACTCCACGGTGGATTCCTTTCACCATAAACTTTAAGACGTTGAGTAGTCCATCAATAAGTTTCAAACATGAATTGCACAACTCTCTTTTCCCCTACACCAAACTTTCTGTAAAAGAGTGCATTCAGTAACTTAAACGCACGGGTAGAAAAGTATACTTCGCGATGAATCCCGTTCACCATGACCGTTAAGATGTTGAGTAGTATGCCTATAAGTTTTAATAATGAGTAGCGCAACTGCCTTCTCCCTACTTCGAACTTTCCACCAAGGCGTGCATTCAGTGACTTAAACGCACGGTTAGAAAAGTATACTCCACAATACTGTATCCCGCTCATCATTGTAACCGTAATATTAGAAGGATGTCAACATCAGACCTGAGTTCATGAACATTGAGCGAGCGAAATTTTGGTTTTTATGGGAGGAATCTTTTGCAAAACAATCGATAGGAGCCATTGACATTTTATTCCAATTCCTTAACCGTTACCAGACCTCGGTGAGTCTGGCTACACCGGGGTAAAACAAAATTGAGCCCGAGCTAAAATTCTGTAAGCAGCTTTCCTGGCGGAAAATTTCATTTTTAGCACATGCCAATGAAACCTCCTTGTTCCTAAAAAGGAGAGGGGATTATAACTTCAGGAGGGACTCTTTGGCAACGTTGGAATGTTCATACCGGGTGCAGCTGCAGAATGATTATTGAAATTGACGGAGAAAGTGATAGAAAAAGAAGAGAAGGGGCAAATATAGCAATCGTTTTGATTGAAACGAGTGGTTCTGTAGACTAAGGGGAAAAATTGTGGACTAACTTTAGGGTCCCTCGTGGGTTGTCGTTAGTTGGTCTACTACTTGCCTCCTTCGTCCATTGCATGCAACCACCCGCTTCCACCGATAGGATCGCTCCATTTTTGCTTGGTTCAGAGGCGGATTCAGCAATTTGACAACACCAGATTGCCTCCATTTAAATCTATGCTAAATAATCGATTCTTGTCGAAGCACCGGGCCCCTAAAAAAAATCGATACATTTCCATAGGTTTAAAAGTAGAAAAGACAATGTTGCCAATTTTCTGGATCCGCCAATGAGGCTTTGTCCTTTTTGTCTGTTGCTTTGTCAGTAATCAGTCTGCTGGTGCGCATTCACACGAAAAAAAAAGAATTGCTGATTCAGCAATTCAATAGCTAAAAACAGTGAGTGCAATGTTTCAACGCAGATTTTACAACAAAAAATGCTACTTTAACCACATTGTAAACTAATTTAACCACATTGTAAACTAATACAACCACGGGGGTGGTTAAAGTAGCATTTTTTTGTTGTAAAATCTGCGTTGAAACATTGCACTCACTGTTTTTAGCAATTGAGTTGCTGAATCAGCAATTCTTTTTTTTTTTTCCGTGCAGGTTTTGTTATTTTTTAGCTACTCCACGAGATTCCACCGTCCAAACTGATTTGATGATGGGAAACTGATCATTTGTGTTGAATTCCCACTGAATTATGAAATAATTAACTGATTAATTAAATGGTTCGCAGGCCTTGAAATGTCGGACGGAGCTGAACGACAGACAGAACGAGGGGTTCTTCGACATCGCGCGGGCGTGCGCCCAGAACAGCGGCACCACCTCGGGGTCGGACGGAGGGGGCGGGGGTGGGGGTATAGNNNTGGGGGGCAACTCGGGGGGCGGGGGTATGGGCGGAGGGGGTAGGCCTTGGTCGCAGAACACGCAAGATTCGGGCCGAGGCGGCGGAAACGGAGGCGGCCGTCACCAGAGCAATCAGTACGGAAATCAGAACAACGATAGTGAGTATACCTGTCACCACATCTCGCATTTTTAATTGCACCGTGATGAAAAAAGAAGAGCTGCGCGGCAGTGTCACCAAGGAGAGTGGTTCTGATCAACTTTCCGAATTTATAACACAACACAACTTGTCCTTTTTACAAAAAAAAAAAAAAAAAGAACGGAAAAAAGGGGAAAACAGAGTTGAGAGGGAGGAGAGAGAGGGAGGAATGAGGAGTAAGGTCAGAAAACCCCGACTCGAGGAAAGAAAAAACGCCTTCAATTGAGAATGATACTGCGCAACACACGGAAGCTTGAATAGTTGTATCATTCCATGATTTAAGATTTCCGGTGTTTGAGGTCAGATCTCACGAAAGGGCGAAGGAAAGAGAGGGAAAGAGGGAAGGAGGAAGTAAAGAAAGAAAGTCATTAGTGTACAAAATGGACGCAATTTTCGACGACAGTATTATGTCCACATCATATCATAAAAAAACAGGATTCATATTACGGCTGTCACGCAGTGTTAAGTGACACCATTTCTTACCGACTTCTAACCTTGTTAACCCTTGTTCGATGTTAGTGTCATCCGTAATGACCATAGAGTACACAAGAGTACTACGCGCTAATGAAGCTGCTGAGTGAGTGCGCTATGTAGTAGAGCGCCGATGAAGTTCGATGAAGGGTTCGGGGGGCTTCCCCCAGAAAATTTTCGCAATTTTAAAACATCTAATTAGCAGTTGGAGTCAATTTTGTCATGAATAATTACCAAATACAAGCGTCCTCCCGTCCTTTTTCTTTCGTTCCCCCTTCTCTCTCTCCCCCTTTTTCTTCCTCTTTTTTAGGGCAAATGGGAGGGGACGTACAGGCGTACACCTCTACGCCTTCCCTGGATCCACCTATGCTTTTGGGCCCTAAATGCTCCATGACCTAACCTCAAAATTACCGACGTGTCCGGATTCCCTCTATTTAGGCGCTCTAGTGCCAACTCTCTGAAGGGCTGTGGGAGGACAGCTGTTAGAGGTCGCAGATCGCCGGAGAGCGCTGTGAAAGTGGCTTATGAATATACTGATCCAACGTTCCAACAAGAGTATTACGTAGGAAGCGCAGTGCTCCCAATTCCAGGAACTAGCACCGAATTTCGGAACTTTCGAGATTTTCCTGAATTTTTCTCGGAACTTTTGAAATTCCCGAAATGTTCCGGATCTTTCTCGGAACTTTTGAAAAAATCTAAAAAGAATCCCGGAACTTTTGCCGGTCATGGAGTGGAAGAAATTGGAACGAAAAAGTTACGAATCCCGGAGCTTTTGACATGAAATGGGAGCACTGCGTTCAGTTCCAACCACGATCCTCGCCTCGGTCTACCCTGAGTCTACTTTTACAGGATACTGCTCCTCCGGGTACCAGAACTCGGACCGGGATCGGCCACGGTTCAGCAGCAGCGGGAGCGGCGGAGGCGGCGGCGGCGGGAACGACGACGACTTCTACACGAAGACGCAGTCGGAGCAGCGGTTCCGCGGCGACGGTGGAGGTGGCGGGCGGACGCGCCCCGGGCAGTACCGCGTCAAGGTCCAGTACGGCTCCGGCCAGGGGGGCGGCCCCGACTCCAGGGCCTACCCCCTCGGCCGCAAACGCCGCGCCACCAAGATCATCTCCAACAACGCCAAAAACGCCACCGGCCGCAACCCCACTTCTTCCGAGACCGGCAAAACCTCCCTCCTGGAGGAACTCGATGCGGTAAGTGAGTCATTGAATAAAGTAAAGCGTATACTTTAAGAACCGTGGGCTGTATTCATAATTGGACTACATCTTGCAATGGAGATGTTGCATGTGTGAGGGATTTGCAATTTGACTGATGATTCTTAAGTAAAAGTTTGCGAGAAACACGATGGTGTCACTGGTTTTCTCTGAAATCAACTCCCAAGCTCAAAAAAAGCTCTCGAGTTGAGACCAAAATGGAGGGGATATCCCACGCTAACCTGAGAGTTCACTTCTACATCAAGACAAACTCTCCATGCAAAGATAGGGAGCAAATACATTGACAAGGCTGCCACTTAATTTGGGGACTCCAAAATTGAAAACACCGCAACCCTACTAATGTATTTGCTCCCTATCTTTGCATGGAGAGTTTGTCTTGATGGAGAGGTGGACTCTCAGGATAGCGTGGGATATCCCCTCCATTTTGGCCTCAACTTGAGAGCTTATTTTGAGCTTGTAAGTTGATTTCAGAGAAAACCAGTGGCACCATCGTGTTTCTCGCGAACTTTAACATAAGAGTCACCAGTCAACTCGCAAATTCCTCACACATGCAACATCTCCATTGGGAACTACAATTTCTGGCTCACATATAAAACGACGTATGTGCCATTAGTTTTCCTGCGCAGATAACTGATTTTAGGTATGAATCAGATACTTGGTTCCTTCTTGCGAAATGTAGTTCGGTGTGGTATTATCGATATTTCCCCATACTTGAAGCTGTTGTAAAGAATCGATTAATTAAAGCTCTCGGTATAGTAATGCTGTGATAGAGCCTGTTTCAGATAAATATTCTCTTTTTACGATATTTAAACAATTAATGATAATTCAATGATCGAAAAGAGAAATATTATTTGATAGATTATTATTATTACTCGGATAGCTATGGTGAATCTTCTGACCAGCGTAAAATGCTCTAAGTCGAGCACATACTAACCCGTTAGTGAACACTTGAACAGTTCAGTAAAGGTTTGCAAAGTAGTTACTTGCCAAAAAATTGCGCAGCGCGAAGTTGAGGAACAGGCCTATGGTGAAACGGTTCAATTTGGTCGACTCGCGCTACTTTACGGGTGTCTTTTGGAAGACATCTTGAAAAAAGCGGGGAGTTCGAAAGCGAAATCGTGACAGTCGAGGTGGTGATGACGGCCATTCAAAAATGTAAATCATGAACCAATTGTTTTCTCAAAGTGAGCATAAATTCTCGTACATAAGACTAGATAAATGAAGCTTTGGGTAAATAAAGGAGGTGAGAGATGTCATATGAGCGAAAACTGCATCAGAGCAAAATTTTCAAAATTTTATCTCAATTACCCAATTTTCAACTTTTCGACGTCGTTTTAAACTTTTTTATCTCCTCTTTTCCAGAAATTGACCTAAGATTAACACAAAGTTATAACATTGGTCATTTACTTGAAATGCCTAAACTGAGGCTATCTTCCCTTAATTAAAAAAAAGTCAGAGAAAAATGACGAGATTCTCATATCGCGAGTGGCGGGCCGCCTAACTGACACCCCCCTCTCCCCTCCTTAAGTCATGTCACAAAATGGTAGGTAGTGAGAAGAAATAATATTTATGTTATTAAAAAAATCAGATAGAAAATGACACTGGAAACAATACTTTTTTCATTGTTTCTATAAAAATGAAAGATGAATGTGAGCTTACCCTAAAACATGCATGCGAGCTGTCTGTGTGAATTATCAACCGCCAATTTTGTATTCGTTTTAGGGAGAAGGGTAGGCATTTATAACGGGACCCGCCAGCGGTGGACTGGCCCTCAAAACTCCCTCGACTGTTGAGATCTCTGCACACCAAACTGCCAGCATTAACCCTGCTCAAGCAAAGCATTGTGAGGAACGAACTGAACGACCGTGGGCTCTGATACAGATCAGAAAACCAAAATTTGACTGAATATCCTTTTTGTCCGAATAATTTATCAACGTTTTCCCATTAAATCTATTGATAAACATTAGAACTCGTTTTTCTTACCTTTCCTACCCTCCAATCCAGAGCCTCGTTCTAAACAAACCAATGCAAAAGTTTGAAGCGATTTTACCACTTTTTCGGAGCAAAAAAAGACAAGTTGATGTTTTTCAAAGTATTACACAGAGGGTAACAAATGTTTCTCGCTTACTAAGAGAGTGTCTTGAGCTTAAAAGATGACTATTAAAGCTAACTGTTTGCGGTATTTATTTTGAACGGATTCTTGGTATTTTGTACGAAGAACTTGGTTCGTATGGCACCCCGGCATGTCTGAGAACGAGTGTTCGAAAAGTTGAATCTCAATGTTTCTCAGAATGAGACCCTAGCGCGCTATGTTTTCCTCGAAAGTTATGTGGAAATAGGTACTTACTTAAAATTATGTGGACATTAATGGCGCGTAGGAAGAGAAGCTTTATCTACAAGTAAAATTTTGAAAAAAACAAACTTGCTGTCCAATACAGAACTTATGGACGTTTTTTAAACACTATGTCATTATGAATGGATCCTCTTTTTACTTTCTCGCTCCCCTAGGGTAGAGAGGAAGTATTGTCATCCTCCAAGAAAAAAAAGAAAAAAAAGTTGAAATTTTATCATTTCTAATTTCTTAATTACGTCAAACTCTTGCGAAACTGTATCTGTTTGCAATTGCACCGATCGATCTACAACAAAGGAAGGGTTTTAAGTTTAAAAAGCTTACCCTCCAAAACCTTTCAGTGGACTATACATTCTTTTTTGTTTTCTTTTAAACCTTATTGAAGGAGAGATATTTTCTGCTTCATTGGCGTTCGATTCAACGTCAATGTGCTTTTACGGGTAGTCTACTAGAAGATTTCCTAAAAGGTTCATGCTTTCATCCATCTTACGACAATATATTGAAACCATTTGAAATTAGAGTGAACCAAAATCCATGTTTGATAGTGCGCTGTTTAAAGCTATGCTTATTTCTCTTCCAGTGCGTGGTGCAGTGCATATTTCGGCAAATGGAGATGGTAAGTATCTTTATAATCTATCGAATCGAACTATTTTCACGAGGACTTACTCTCAAATCGTAGGTCCAAATTCTTGACAAAATCAGACTGTTACAATCGGATTAAATTAGATAGAAAGATACCAAGCTAAATTCTATTAATAATTATGGTGATTTTTAGAGAGATAAAGCAAGCATCTAATTGTCACGAGAGGAGTTCGATGTAATTTGCAGTGAGGCGAGGTTAATGGAACTACACAAGACACAAATCAGACAATTTCCGCACGGAGGATGTCGTATGGCCTACCTCAAAGATTGAAGGCGAAATAGAAAACTGAATAACCATCATCGTTCGTGCCCCGCTATTTATGACACTGTTTACCTAACTATTATTTACGGTCAGAAAACGCCACTGACCACATTTTGGGGGGGGGGGGGATGAGTCGTTGTGAATTTGTAATCACAACTAGTTTCCGTCCAAAACTCGCAATTGAGCAAAAATAGTTTGGAAGTGGAAATAGGAGTAAAAATTTAATTTCAACGCTACGTCTACTTTAGAATGAAGCCTAGTAAAAATTCGGATTTATTTTTTGAGGTTTCACTTTGACGGGACTTGCCTTTCTCCTTCTGAAGTTGATCGGATTCACGATCGGCTTATTGTTAGTACCTAATCATAGTGGCGGCAGTCGAAAAAAAAACACCTCGATGCAGGTTTTTTGGCAGATTTGATTTGTTCAAAAAAGTGATAAAAGACTAATAGATACATATGTTGAACTTCAGACTTTTTTTTTTTTTATACAGGACGTTATGTAAAAATGTCAAACAACAAAAGTTATTCGTTTTTCTTGAAAATAGCCAGCTGAAATGGCAGTACTGCTGAGACTTACAGTCTGTGGGGCTGGACCCTAAAGTTTCACGGTAATCCAGGATTGCGCAAAAGGTTTAAGAAAATATATTAGGATCACGCGAAAAAGGCACACGGATTGCTCAAATAGAAACCTTAACAACTGCAACAGGGATGCGCGAATTTAAAATGAAGTTAATTTAAGGTAAAAGTTTGGCAAAACAGGAAAGAGTTGGAAAATAAACGCATTATGTTGACGCCTAGCCCACTTTCTCAAGTTCCGATTCCATTTTGCATCTCCCCAAGTATTTTTATTGCTGTCTTGGAGGACAATAATTTTGAGTTTAATCCCAGATTTGCAGGCAAATTAATTTAACTTTTATCCTTTTGTCAACTGTTTGTACTATGTAGCTAAACACTGTACTTTGTTCAATGAAGTCTTAAACAAAAATGTTGACGCCAGTTTAGGTTAGTTTGTTGACAAGTCATCGATGCCTTACCTTCTGATGGTAAATGAGGTTAAAAGATTGAGTAATGGTCGTGGGTATAAAGAACTTTCCTAACTTTTCTCGGAAAAAATATTCAATCGGAAGGAACAAGGCAACGTTGGAATGCTCATAACGGCGTCGAAACACACCATGGGCCTTATAAGCTCTATTATTCGATGTCGCGATTGTTCTAACGCGAGTTCGAATAATCGCGCCGAACACAGTGCGGCCGGCGTTAAACGTATATTAGCGCCTGCAAAACTTAGGAATACTTCACGCATTGCGCCAAACAGTACGGTCGGCGTTGAGACCATATCAGCGCCTGCAGGACTGCATGAATACTTCTCACATTGCGCCAAACGCAGTGCAGTCGGTCAGTTGGCGTGAAACGCAAATTAGCGCCTACAAGACTGTAGGAATGCTATAGGACTGCGTGTCGTCATTCTTGACTTTCTGCTCCAGTTTTTACCATAATTAAAGAGAAAATATGTATCCTCAACCTCATTATAACGATTCAGAAACTCGAATGATATTTAAATTTAATTTTTTTTGGTTACATTAAATGAAAATGGAACGAACGAAAATATCGCTTCAAAATTTTCGATACATATATTTGAGATCATTTAGATAAATTCACGGAAACTTTTCAGAAAAACTGAGTGCAGCTTTTTAAAAACATTTATTAAAAATGAAGCATTTAAGCGGTGTCTACCGTTGCAACCAGAGATAGATATACGCTTTCTTTCGGGTGCACCCGTCGGGTTTTGCATCCATTCATATCTTAAAAAACTTGAACGTGGTTGTTCTGCAATTTTTTGCGTCTAGTTTTTTTCAGTGGTTGCAGGCGGCTTCCACAAACCCCTATGTAACTTTGTAAATGTTTATGAAAGCTCTCTGGGCCATTCGTGCTGCGAGGGCTGGGTATCCATCAAAGAGAGAATTGCCCATAAGTGAGGAGGAGGGAATGAACAATCTTCCGAGATGTAGTTATCTATTACAAACTACCAAGGTTGCCATATTAACGTTTCCTCGTTGAATATTGAATATTCGAGCAAACATGTGAGTTTTCAGTATCAGAAAAATTCGCGCAAACCTATGCATCCCCAAAAAGGGGGAAAAGGGAGCATTCGCGCAATCGTATCGCAGCCAAGTTTTAGGGCTCAGCACTACTGCCATACTAGCTGGCTCCATTTGATCTAAAAAGCTCAGCACTATATAGTTTTTCCCGTGTAAAATAACAGTGGAAATTTCAAAATTTTGCAATAACATGCGTGTTTTTCGATTTTCACCATCGCAATGTCGTAAGAGAGTCATCGCAAGAAGCAGGGATTGAGATTTATCATCATAGTTTATGTGTAACATTTGGCGGAAAATACTCTGTGACAGGTTTATTAAAAGAAATCAATTCAAAATGCAAAATAAAACCTCCTAGTCCAGGCTGTAATACTGGTGAGAACCATCATTATGTGAAAATCCATCGGTGTAATCCGTGAGAATCTATAATTATGCAAGGGTAGATCTCAATACAAAGAATACAAGTCCTCGGAACCGTATAATATTTCACAGGTCAACCACAGAATTGCCTACGGTTCGACAGGTATGCAAACTTCATGACACATGCTCTCTCGTTGCATAATGTAAAGGCTCTCTTTGCCTGCAACGAACAGCTAACATGGCAACCAAAATTATAGAAATTATCAATCACTCTATGTATACAGACCACTGAGAAAAAGCTGTGGTTTGTAAACCAATTAGTGGTTCATATAAAACACCACTGATAGTAGTCAAGGCAACAGGTAATAGTTAGTTAGTTATTTTAATTTACGACGATCAGCAACCAGGCTACAGCACATATACCTTAGTGATGGTACATATACCTTAGTATGGTACGAGATACCTTACTATGGTTCACAGACTGAGAATCATTAGTTCATTTACGACTATTCGTGGTGTTCCATAAGAACAACTAATTGGTTTATAAAGCCATAGATTTATTCTCCGTGAAGTACCAATATTTCGATTCTGAGTTTTTTGGTATTGCGAACTCTTTTCTCATGATCGGTCTTAAATTTTTTTCGATCAAATTTTAACCATCCTGGCAATAGATGAGAAGAGATTCTGCACTGGGTTCTCTGTGACAGTTGGCAACTTTCACTTTTGGGGCTTCATCACTTAACCCTTAAAATTACCCTCTTGATGGCTGTTGGGCAACGTGTTGAGCAGTTGGATGGATCATGTGGACAACAAAATAAGCTCAATATGGTAGGGCACATCGAAATCTGGCCGATCACGTCGCGAGAATTCCGATGAATGGCTTCTTTTTAAACTTTCTATTCGATCGTGAGAACAAACCTAAAAAAACAGGTTTCGGTGAACTTGTTAGGCATGCTGCTCCCCCAAAGCTCGATGGCTAACAAGAGGGTGCTCACTGCCCAACAACCAAGAAGAAGGCAGATGCATTGTTGTTCTTATGGAAATGTTGAATCCCCGAGATAAAATTTCCCACCATTGTTGGGATACCAATCAAATAATGTCTCTATTTGTTCATGATCCTGGATCCAAATCAGTAGATAAAAAGAAAGGGGCTTTTTGACCAATCAAAGAGCTTTTAATTCAGAAAAAAGGAGGACACGCCGACGTAATCCCTATGTGTCTGAACAGATCATGAATAGAAATGTGAGGAATTTAATATGAATAAGAGGGAGATATTAATTAATTTAATTAATAATTGCAGCTAACAGAAGATGCTCGACCGGACAAGAACTCGGTGATCAGCGTGATGACGCAAAGAATCCGGGATCCAGAACTCAAAGAGTTCATCCAGGAATCCATCGAAGAGTGTTTTGACATCATCGAATCAGGTAGGATTTTTGGTCATTGAAGGTGTGATGCTCTTTTAGGTATTTCCCTGGATGCACTAGCAATAAAAAGCTATGCTGAGCATGAAATGCTTGAGTGTGAAGTTGTAAGGAAATGATTATATCACTCTCAAATGGACGACTTCAAAATGACTGCCAATGAAATCTTTGGCTGATGAATCCAAAATAATTTTTTTTTCCTCCCATCATGCTCTAGTTGATGGAAAAATTTAACATTTTTGTTGTAGGTCACACTTTTCGGGGAGATTTCGAATTTTTCTGGGAAAGCCGGGCTGATCGAGAAAAATGAGGGTCATCTTCGGGATCAGCTTTTATGATCAACGGTGGAAATTTTTACTATTCCGGCAAAACTTCTTTTTTTTTGGACTACCTAAAGCTGCAGTTTTGAGATTTTATCGACAACTTTGCTAAATGTTAAAAAAAAAAAAATAATAGACTTGGACTTTTTGGGTTTCATTTGTCTTTAAGATAAACAAATGTACTTAGAAATTAATTATTAATTTCTGAAATTTAAAAATGCAAACAAAGCTAGACTCATTTAGTTTTTCATTCATTTTCGCCAACTTTGCTGGCAAGCACTCGTTTTTCGCTCTTGTCGGAATAATTCGTTCAACTGAACAATTTATAAGCAAATTTTTGAAGATATTTCTGAACATTGTTGAAATTTTCTCAGACTTCCAAACTTCCATGAAAAATCGAATTTCCCCAAATTTTTCGGATTCCAGGAATTTTAGACACCCTATTTTAAAGATGTTGCCCTTAAATGAGCCCCAAATATAGCTAAAAATATGGTTGAAGACATTATATCGGTTGTTATAGACCCTTCGTTCGCGTAGTCAATTTGGAAGTTCTCTTTCATTCATAATTAATTTAAAACAATTGATCGATCATGAGATGTTAAAGTTTTAAATAGCAGACAAAAAGAGAAATCTCGCACAGATGAATCAAATCATCTGAAAAAAATTGCCGGAATATGTTCATATTTTTCTTCATCACAGTAATAAAAATGTAAATCGCAGCATTTCGGAAGGACCAAGAGGAATCACGCCAAATGTCCTGCGATAGTTCGCTGTCCTTTGGAACATTGAAATATGACAGAAAATATGTGACGTTCTAAAGTTAGTTCTATGTTTTCCTACTTCCGCAGTGGAAAATAGTATCTATGAAATTTGAACTAATTTCTGTTACAGATGCAGAGGGTGGAAAGTGCGAATATTCTAAAAATTTTGCCATGTGCTTGGAGGAAAAAGGGAGAAGGGTAAGCTTGACCGTATTGATTTTATTAGTCGAATGAATTCTTTGATAATCGTGAATTATTGAGCTTTTGCACGCGTCAAAGATTTGCGATTTAAGTTCTCTTTCTCATGTAAAATTTTGCGAGAAACATGAGGGTGAGGGTGTCACTGGTTTTTTCCCTGAAACGAACTGTACAGTTCGGGAGCAAATGTAATAGCAGGGTTGCTGTGATTCTAGTCTTGAAAACCCCAAACAAAGGGGCAGCTCTGCTACCTAATGTATTCATTACCCATCTGTGCATGAGTTTGACTGTATGTAGAGGTGGATTCTCAGTTTAGCGTGGGAGACGCCCTTCTTTACGGCCTCAACTCTGAGAGCTTTTTTTGAGCTTGGGAGTTCGTTTTGAAGAAAACTAGTGGCACCATCGTATTTCTCGAGAAATTTCACCCTGGTGAAAGCTCTTAAATCACAAATCTCTGACGCCAGTAAGAGCTCCATTTTGCAATATATCCATACGTGGGGATTTCTAGAATACTTCGAGGCAATTCAGACTTTCATTTGGGGCCATTCAAATAGTCATTGTGTGTCCACTTTATGAAGTCGTTGACAAAAAAAATAAAAAATTATAAAAATAAAAAATTTAAAAAAAAAAATGCAAAAAGGCGGAGGGCCTTTGCCTCCCATATTCATAACTGCACTCATCTTCAAAAATTGTTTTACAGAACTGTGAGGATTGGGAGGAAGCAGCGCAGATCAACCGCTTCAAAGGAATACAAAGTGGAATGAGTCCCCCGGACACTACCAATAATTACAACCCACCCAACTTCAACAACTTCAACTCCAACAATCAAGGAAACCGACCAAACGCTTTCTACAACTATAATGGCAAATGAACTTACACGTGGACTCCTTATGGACTGCGAAAAGGCATCAAACTAGGAAACTGCCGAAATAAAGCTGACGTTCTATCTGACGCAATACTCTGCAAAGGATAGGTCGCGCATTGCCGATAATCAAATTCGTCGGGAAAGGGAAGAAAACATTCCTTACAGAATTTTATGACGAAATATCGAAGTGTATGAATTCAATTTTTCTTAAAATTCAAAGGAAGTCAAGTACATGAGCTTATACTAACATGCGAGTGAACGTAAGTACCTCATTTAGGCTTTTACTCATGGTCACACTCGCTAATTTTTGTCTACTTTTCTAGTTTATTAAATCTTTATTGATAATTAAAATACGAGGCAAAGCTGCAGCCAGAAGTACGACATCAATAATTAACTTTGTAGCTAACATTGTCCACTTCATTTACCATATCAACCACGAAATTTAGTTCACAGCATGGGAATCTTTAGATAGAGCATCAATTTACGTTAAAATTCTTATTGATAATATTTATTTTTTCTATTGGTTACTTATTTAAATATTTATTTTTTAATTAAGTGATTTATTTATTATTGGTTAATAAAACATACATTCTGAAAAGCAAATTCTTGTCAGATTTATTACAAATGTTGAAATCAGCCCAATCGTTGATTACATTATGGCTGCACAACCATTATAAACTAGAAAAAAAGAACTCATTGTCAGTTTCTTGCCGATCAGGGTAGGATTGTGCCATGCAAGCGCTGCGTCCAGAAGCTAGAACGCCTTCAATTGTTTGTTTATGCAAAACACACATCCCTCAAGTGCGAATAGTTGCATCCGAACTTTATCGTTGGAAAACGAGAGCAGAGTCGCGCCATGCGAGCGCTACCGACAGTGAGTGTCCAGAAACTTAAACGCCTTCCATTTTTCAAATATGCAAAACAGACATCCCTTGAGTGCGAATAGTTGTATCCGATGAGATGGAAAATCTGTCTCTTCCCACGTGGAGCAGATCAAATGGCATGCCCGACTTACCATCTGTGAGCGCATCAGAGACCAGAGCGCCTTCCATTTTTGATTTAGGCAACGCGGGTATCCCTTGAAGACGAATAGTCGTATCCATCTGTTTTGATAGCCCTCACGTCTCACCTTAGCATTGGCCGTCGCACAGTGGATCGAGTCAATGGGAGAGGTCGGACAAAATTTGGGAACTTTAAAAGCGCATAACTTCGTTCATACAATTTTATGAGGTTTCAAAAGCGGTTTCCTTGGTTTCCTCGTGAAAGAAGCTTCCCTTAAAATTTAAAATGTGATGAATTAAACATCAACATTTGCAGTTTTAGTTAAAAATTGCATGTCCGACCTCTCTGATTGATTTGTTCTGTTGGGCGTCGTATGCGTTGGCCGAGAGAAAAACCAGCGTAGAGGTGACATTTAAGCTCTCCTACAAGAGAATACAACATGCAGCCTTAGCAACATCTGATGCCATTTATCAGATTCTAAATCTCCACGCTTCAATTCCCACCGTCAATCCAGGCGCAACTGGAGATAACTTGTTAAAAATTCAAATTTTTTTTCTAAGGAAGAACGCCGTATGAACATCAGAGAGTTGCCAAATTTCCCTTGATAAAATATGTATTTTTGACAGCATTCGTCCATATTTTTCCTTGAAATTTTCAGATATTTTAGATTTAATTGTGCACAAAATTATCTGAAATTTTTGGAAAATAATGTTCACAATTTTCCCAGGGATTTCGGTTTTTATCGGAGGAAACTTGGCAACGTGTATGGCTCATACAAGGAAAAAAAATTAGGTAGCATTTACCATACTCTGGTTAAAAAACGGCACAACCTGACAGTATGGTTAGTATGGTAACTTCCACCAAAATTATTGTCAAAAAAAGGGAAAATCTTGTTACTTTCACGATAGTTTTGATGCTAGTAACCATACTCTCTCGCTGTGCCATTATTAATTAGAATATGGTAAATAGAGAATTTGCAGGTGTCTGAAATTTGATGAATTTCGTGTCTAAGTGGAAACTATTGAGTGAACTGAACACGAGGATACCCTTGGTTCATGAATTGAACAATTATTGGAGAAGATATGACAAAATGATCTAATCTGGTAAAATACGTGTGTTTAAATGGGAAATGCCGCCAGATGACGTCACTAGGCGGCACATTTTCTCTCTTTTAAATCTATATCCCTCCGATTTCCCATTTCAGAGAAAAATTATAAAAAATACTGTGAAATCAGCTCTTCAAGCAAGCTAAAAAGCTGAATTGCAATTATAAAATAAGCTAATTAGCTTTTATCTCAAGACTGTGTAGAAGTAAAAAGTTTACAATTAATTTCGGCTTAATGATTAAGGCTTTCATGCCTTCGTGCAGATTAGTTAAAACCAAAAAGAGGTATATTATTGTTAATAATAAAAATGAACTAGTGTCCAACTAAAATTTACAATTGCTATAGTAGTTTATTAACTTTTTTTAACCACTTCCAGATGCAGCAATAAACAATTTGCATGCAAATTCTCCATTCTATTAAATTTTTACTTCCGTGTACGGCGTTTTTCCTCAGCACGGCAGTATGCTTTCCCGGCGTGATTTGGCAACGCAAATGGGTCGTCTCGGAGGTACTCTACTCGGAGGGCGCGAACGAATCTGGGAGTCACCGAGAGCATTGTTGGCCGTCAAAGCTCTCGTTTGTTATGACACCGAACGGCCTCATCTCGCGTCAACACACCTACGAACAGCTCGTCCGCGCACTCCCGCGACGTCCATTCCCGACTCGTCTCTCGTCAGTGTCCTCCCGCGTTTCGCCAGAAATTTCACACGTCCTCGTGCGTCCCCAAAAACCCTCCTCTCCGCTCGAGATCCCCGCGTTTTTCGGATTTTTGTGCGCGCGGGTTCGCAGTTCGGTTCGCTGCAGGCGCCTAAATGAAAAACGGTTGGTTTTCCAAGGTGTCCGAAACGCGCGACCAGGTGATTAGCCCGATTTTCCGGTTGGTCAAGGTTTTGGGCGTCCGGCGCGCCGTGCGGGAACTCCTCTCGCGGCTCGGGGCCTGGGATGTTCTGAGTTTCGGCTCCCTCAACCGTAGTTTCCGGGCCTTGGTGCAGCAGTTGCGGGTGGCGCAGTATCTGCCGGTAAGTTGACACCACATCAATAGGGAAATTGGGGAAATAGACTGTTCAAAATTCCGGAGCAAAATTCGGACTGGACTTTACTGCAGCGGATTATTGAACCTGAAAGACAAACTGATCGACGAGGAAGACAAAGGGAAGACTGAGTGATCCTGTTGGTTAAAACGGCCGGTTGTTATAGACTATGGGGAAAAACTATGGACTGAAAAGCATTGTCCTCCCTCCCCACACTAGGAGGACAGTGATTTTACAGTAAATAAATATAAAAATGTATAGGGTCCCTCGTGGGTTGCCGTTACTCATTGTCAGTCTATACTTATCATCTTTGTTCATAGCAACCACCGGTTTCAACCAAATCAGATCGTTCATTTTCCCTTTTTCTTCTTTGTCTATAGCTTTGTCTATAGCTTTGTCCATGCTTTGTCTATGATTTTTAATGATAAGCTCGCAGGCACCAAAGAATTGGAGTGGTGTGACTGGAATGTGAAATGTGCTCTTCCCGAATGGAACTCACGTCGTCGCATTATAACACTCGTGATGTTTGGCAAAAATATTATAACGATGCCTCCAATATGAGCCTTCTGTATCTCTAATTGTGCTTTTTTTTTTTTTTTTTTTTTTTTTTTTTTTTTTTTTATAAAAGACTAACCAAAATATTATCTTGTAATTTTGTATGAAAATATTTCGGTGGTTAAAAAAAATTCTCAGGAAATAAAAGAAAAACTCGTCGCCTACCCTACATAAGGGCGTAAGTACACTCTGCAATGAGCCCTGTCTTCCATGTAATTCAATGCTTTTCCGGGCTCGTCTCAATGTGTAGTTACGCCCTTATGTCAGCCAAGCGACGAACTGTGAGAAAGTTTTTTTCTTTTTCTTCAAATAATAAAACATGAGCAGAGATTTGTACAACGAAGCAATCGGAGGAACACATATAGCCATCGATACAGAACAGAAATACGCTTCAGACAGAAATACATCTGGATTTCACTCATGAATGTCTAATATCGGTATCTACATTGAGGCGCTCGAAAATTCCCGTCCCTGCATAATTTCTTCGAGAAAGATTCAATTAACCTATGTTTTCTCGTGAATTTTTTGGAGAATGTCCTAGGACGATAGAGGAAAACTAGTAAACAATATTCCGAATGAAAAACATTTGCTTTCATTGCGTTAATATGGAATGCGGCAGAATTTTTCAACGTCGCAAATCAAGGTTTGCATTTTTATGGCCACACCATCCATATACTCAGTGGTTGTAATAGACAGCATACCACCCAGAATAATTCGATGTAATGATGCCTGAAGTAAAAAAAAAAGAAGAAAAAAAGAAAGAAAAAAGTCTATTGCAACGAATATAGTAGCCCGAATTTTATCTTTTGAGGAAACCTAAGAAAATGTTCTCCTACAACTGTGAAACTTGAAAGAAAAGCTGCCGCTTTTTCTTAAAAATAAAACATGATTGGAGACATGCAAACATCGCCATCAGATAAACGCATTTTTTGGTTATAGCTATCGGTGTATGGCTCTCCTTGTGAAGTGGCCCTAAAATTATCTAGGAGAACTTGAAAACACTGTATTTGAAGGCAGTTTCGAGGCGTCGCGGTACGCTATATCTATCGCAGGGATCGGGAAATGTTTTTATTTTGGTAAATGCGTGACTGAAAACGAGGAACGTCAATGGAGTATGAACTCTTAAAATTGTGTATCATGAAAATCAACGGAAAACCTTGATGCTGTGTACTTCACTTCGACGGTGTAAGTCGGCAATCACATGACTCGTATGCGGTGTCTGAAAATCTCCGCCTCTATGTTATTTTTTTAAAAGAGAACAAATTGGCATCATTCCTTGAAGATTTTGCAGCATTTTTTTCGCTCAGAGAAGAAAAATCACGGCAGTTTCAAAGAATTGCCGTTGAATAGTTTTCCGTTCAAAAAATAAAGTATGACACGAAGTCAGTGACGTCGCAAACCGAGTTATGTGATTGCCGACTTACACCGTTGACTTGCTCTTTCTCGACCCCTGTGGAAAGCTTTCTCTTTCTAAAATCCATTTTTAGACATCAGGATGTATTTTCTTCAATAGTTACATGAAATGTGTGTGAAACCGTGAGGGGATTTTTTTTCAAGTCATTTGGAACCAGAGTAAGATAACAATGCGTAGGGGTCAAATGAGGGTGAGAGAGATAGTTTCATCTCTGTTTGGAACTGAGATTGTCTTGGAGGCACGTCATAGAAAAGTAAAGCTGTCATGACGTCACTACCAAGCAGCCATTTCTCCATAATCGCACAATCTATGATTCAGGATTCTGTAATTTTGAGTCGGTCTTCTCCCGTTTAAACATTTTTTAGAATGAATACACGTTGAGACGCCAAATCTTGACTTGTGAACCAACATTGTAGTCTGTGACGTCAGAATCGGAGAATGTGTAAAAATCAACCTATGATGAAAATAAGCGAGACGTTGTTTTTATCTCGTCAGAGTGGAAATACTACGTGGTGAGGAGGGACTGACGTCTCCAATAAATGATGCAACGTCATGCGTGATATCGTCTCATGATGCGAACGGCGCATCGTAAAGCAATACGACATTGTATCAATAAATAATAATTTGATTAATATTACGTTTGACGTTTCTCATCACTTACGACAATGACTTTTATCGTTTCCTGAATTCCGTGTCGTGGAAGTGGGTATGTTTTGGCCTCCAATAATTTCAACTAGTTTAGGACTTTACGCTGCGCCAAGGTCGGACATTTTTGCACGGGACTACTATCAGCTGAGCACGAAGTTAAAGAGATGTCCTTATAATTCCGGGAAAATTGATTAGTTGGTTCAATCACATGGTCATTGATCAGTTGGTTCAGGAACGATGAGAGATAAAGCATCTCTGTTTCTGTTAAAAATTATCGCTTCAATGGGGTATTGCTACGATAAACACATAATACTAGGGGGCTACGCCCCCTGGCCGCTACGCGGCCCTATTTTTACCCTTCTATCAATGTAAGTTTTATTTTTCCCCTAAACAATTACAATATGAGGTATACTTTAATTTTAAACTTTACTTAAAATTACTTTAAAATTAAAAGGACGCGTTTTGGAATGACTGCTTGATGAAATATTGGAATAAAACAATGAACAATGATAGTCAGGTAATAATTAAGATTCCTTGAGTCGGGGATCGAACCTATACCAAGTTCAAAGTGGACGCAATCGACGTCTTAGACGACTCGGTCACCGCTCGACGTGAAGTTATCGGTGCGAATCTTGTGTAGATAAGTGTAGAGCTGATGCGCAGGCTACACAGCTACTGCGCAACCTCCTCGACCACTGCGCATCCTCCCGCGCATAGCGGTAGCAGTACCGGAGCATTCTATAAACTCACTCACTTTTATAACGTGATTTTAAAAAAAACCTGGGTCCCTTTTCCAAAATCTGATTACAGCGGGCTCATCTAGGGCCTATTACCTGTCGATTTACGCAAAAATCATGGAAATCGGCCCGGTAGAACGCTCAAACGAACTATGACAAAAAGTATAAATTTACATTGTTTAAATGGGAGAATTCGCATTTTTACCACGTAATATAAAAAAACCTGGGCCATATTTTGAAAATCTGAAAAGAGTTGGCTTATCTAGAGACAATTGCCCGTCGATAACCGCAAAAATCATGAAAATCGGCCCGGTAGAACGCTGGAACTAAGCGTTACCAGTTTCCCAAAATTAGGAGGTCTTGGAGCTTATAGTATAGATATAGATGGACTGATACGGAAAATAAATCTCACGTGGAAATTGAGATACGCCCTTACGTCAGAGGGGCGACGCATTGTGGGGCACTAGTGAGGGTTCTCTGTTAATTCCTGATATAGTTAACACATAAAGACCTAGTTCAGAATCAAACTCGGACTAAACGTAAAGAATCGGGAACTTTGACTTTAGGAACACATCATGCCGTCGTATGTCGTCTACCAAAAAAGTTCAGTTGGGGGTTTCAGGCAATAAAAATGCAATCCCAAATTTAATCCGGCTGAATGGCTATAATATGGATAGAAATCGCCATCTTTTCTTTGGTTTCTTTCCGAGTATGATTGCTCAACTAGGAATGAAAATACTGGGTACTCGCAATCGTGGTTGAGTTTGCTTCCTCGTAAAATAAAGCCAGCCAATAAAAGGGCCTAAGTTTTTGGACTGAGGAAGTAAAGTATGAATTTGAGTATTAAATATTACATGCCAACATTAAAGACCGTCAGTGAGCTGTATTTCATCCAAGGATCGGTAGAAAAGTTCAGATTTTATTAGCAAGAGCCTTTTTTGCTGAAGGAAAAACCAACATCCAGCAAGTTGAGCTCATTCACATGAACATTTGCAATATTTCAGGAATATTGAGACTGTTCCAGGAGGAAAAAATGGACCATCAATATAGGAATGAAATCGAAAATGTTGCCAAAATACAGATAACTCCAAATTTTGCTAGAGCAATAATGTAAACGGAGCGATTTTTAAAAGAAAATGATAACGCATAAAAATTACTATGGATTGCTATGCTCTCAAATCAACCACAAATGCGAATACCAACATTTTTACGCATTCCCTGTGATTAAATTGTGATTAAAGATAAAAATACCACTGTATGCAGAAACGAATTTTTTTTCGAATAGAGCCTCGCTCCATAAAGTGTAAAAAGTTATATTCACATACATGCCTTATAAACCTCTTGAGTCATGGAAAAATTCGAATTAGTTCCTTGAATTTTTTGTTCATTAGTCACATTAGTACCGAAGTGCTTACATAGCCGATGTAAAAAGCCCCTTCAATCTTGGCTGAAGCAATTTCTCGTACTCTCCCTTTTCTAGCATGTAAAATAAGGGAGGCATGGATCGAATGATGCGTCTCATTCGGATTGAAAGGTTCAGTATTATTTACACTTTACGGAGAGAGCTCTTAAACATTAACACTAATATACAATAGACAAAAACATATGATCCTCAATAAAAACACATAAATATGTACATACAAAATTCATATTCCATGCTACTTCTACGGGTTTTGTCTCTGGAAGAAATTGAATAGTATAACATTGATTGTTTTATTTGAAGACTTTATTCTTATGTTCTGTAATTTTCTCATGATGTTTTTTTTCTTCTACTTGTTATGCAGTCAGCTTCAGAACTTTCTTTGAACATGGAATACATTTAATGATGTCTATGAAGTTTTGAAAGCGTAATTTTAGCAAAAAAATGAGAGGAGGGATATTAAACACAAATTACATCAAGTTACAAGAAGTAAAAGATTGAGGCTTTCGGATTGAAAACCAAAGACAAAAAATTGCAGAAATCCCTATTAGTATCTCCTCTCTGGCGGGAAAAATCGCCGTAGCTGCCATTTTGACTCCTGAGTGATGCTGAGCGACTAGAGTATCTTTACAGAGAGAGTGTGGCTGCTTGACTACCGTGGGATCTATATCTGACTGGTTTAGTCGTTTCAGACTAATCTCGAGTAGTCTAAGGGTCAGAAATGGCGGAAATTTTTGGAGTATGTATCTTTGCCTTAAATTGACTGCAAAAAAACGGTTTCACTTGCACCGTCAATTTTACGTGAGTCACGTAGGAAAAACGTGTTTAATCAGTATGAAAACAAATGATCTGCCTCATATTCGACAGAACTCCTTTTGAAATAAAGAAGTGTTGGTACAAAATATACGAAGCTGGGGATTACCACTAGAATTTGGCGAAATTTAATCAAAAGTTTCCATTTTTTTGGCCATCACGCAGTCATCAGCAGCATCAGCATCAAGCTGAGGCCAGGCCAGGTGTCTCTACACTCTCTCCATAAAAACTCCATTTACACTCTAAGTATAGAATAACCCAAATTAATCTGGCCACCCATATCTGTTATCGATGTATGATATTCAGAGATTATTTAGATGAAACTTTACAGAATAAAACCAAGTGTTTTGGAAATAAGGGGTCTATTCATTTGTTGCTTAAAGGAACTCTCTTAGCATCACTATACATTCAGTTGAAATAGCTTGCTGATATATTAGAAAGCTTTCCGGTTTTTAAGTTTTGAGTGACCAAGTAGCTTCTTTCTCTGGATTGATTGATTATACATAAAGAACTTTAAAATAAAGCGACTTTGCATTTGGCTCCTCTCTCTAAACTGATTTGAATCTTACAGCGCTCGAAAGAGAGGCACAAAGGCATTAAAGATTCAAGAGGAATGATTATTTGTATCACAGCAAATATATCTTTCATAGTCAGGAGTAAACAAATTGCAGTAAATCAAAATTGATATCTTTAAATGCAAATTTTCCTCAGGAAAGCAAATTGAGGAAACCCTACGACAAAGAGACGCTCTGTTTTTCTGAAGAAAAACACTTGGTTCTTTTTTGTTAAACTTGATCCACTGGAAGCTGCATTTGTTAAGTTAAAATAAATACAACGCAAGAACAGAGACAGAAGAGCAAGAAAATTCCAAGAGAGAGAATACATAGAAAAAACGAAACTGGTGAAAGTTGGGCACGTACCGGTGTTGGTTTGGGATTGGACGAATGTTTTGATGAGCGTGTCTGTTGTCTGCGTGTACAGGGATAAGGCGTAGCGGAGCGACTGCAATTCGGCGCTCTTCTCGAGGAAAGTTTTCTTCAGCCCGTTGCCTCCGGCGTGGAAGTACTGCTTTATCGTGTCCAAAGCCACGTCCAGAACTGCGCACTGTTTCGGCGAGAGGTTCTTCTCGATCTCCTGCGAAATCGTACAAATTAACGACCAAATGAAATCAATTTCATCTTAGGTAATTAGCGGAAAATGTCGAGATGGAAAAAAAAATCTCCGGAAAAATGGATCTGATACAGAAAATTTTATGAAAAATGAATATTAAAATTTTTGCGGTGAATTTTCAGGATGTTTTTTATGAAATTAAAGTCATTTTTTTTTTTGGGCGAAGGGGACGCCCAGTGAGAGGGTGGCGACAGGGGGTATTAAGTGAAATGAGGGAGTGTCAACTCCCTGATGACCTGTGGAAGACCGAGTTTTGTGGCGATTAGGCGTCGCACAGCGCCAAAGAGCGCTATAAAAGCGACTCGTGTATGTATGTAAGTCATTTTTTGAAATTTCAAGGGCTGCGTTATAGGCGGTCGTATTCCAATGATAGAAATGTAAATATGAAAAAGACATAGAAATAGAACATAGCGTGCACTGCACATGCTCATTTTTTCATATCAGGTAAGTAATTTTTTTTTACATAAATGGATTCTCTGTTGCTCAGTAACATTACTTTCGATTCTTCCATTTGATTCTGTTTATTAGACCAATTTTACAACCAACTGAACACTATCAGACAATCAGATTGTTTTATGAGTGTTCTCTCCCATTGTAATGAGTAGATACAAACATAGAAGCGAACACTTACCATGACGCCACTAAGCGCGTTTTTCACGTCTTGTTTGCCTGCCATGTGGTTTTTGATCAGTCGTGACATATCCTCTATCTTTGCGTTGGCAGCCAAGTTTTTAGCGTTATCAGTCAAATTTTTGAGTATCATCTGAAAAAAGAAGAGGAAAAATCGTGTTCAGTGAGGTATCTTCAGATACACTCATTATCGAAAAAAATCATGTT